CCCCACTCCTCCCCTCTTTTCAAAATATATGCTAAAATTTTCTTGCATATTTTTTTTACATTTTTATTAATATGGATTTTAATTTACAAATTTGTTTATCGAACTTTATCTGCAATACCGACATACTGCTGATATTGCAGTTGATATCGATAATACCATTAGGATTAGTTCGATCGATAACAATGTTAAGGATAAACTTGTGAATACTTTTCCTAACGTTCACATTGCATTAAGTATATATTTGTCGATTATTGGATCAAATGCAAAAGGAGAAAGATCTTTCTCCAGATTAAAATTGATAAAAAAATTATTTGCGTTCAACAATGATAGTTTGGCATCGCTCGCACTTATGTCTATTGAATACGACATTTTGCGTAGTTTTGGAATTCGACAGCTACTACAAGATTTCGTTGAATCCAAAAATCGCGAAAAAGTAATATATTAGATCATAAGATTCTGCAAAATAATTTATTACCGAAAAATATTATATTTTTATATGTATCTTCATAATTTTGTGCAAAATACACTTGTTGTTTTTAAAGCTAAATTATTTTTGTCAACAAATTTTTTTCTCCCAAGTTTTTCGTAGGCCCCTGAATTTCGTAGGCCCTAGGCACGTGCCTAGTGTGCCTATAGGTTAATCCGGCCCTGGATGTAAGCCGTGTGACCAAGGGTACACACGTGGAACACCTGTAATCAGGGGCGGATCTACTTAAGGGCTTTTTGGGCTGCAGCCCAGGACCCCGTTGATACAAAAGGTCCCAGTCCCCACTGAAAACAATAGGTGATATTTTAAATTAAAAAAATATCTAATATTAAAAAAAAAAACTATTATAAGATTGGCAACTCTGAGATCAATCAACCCATGCATATGCGCGTCTTCGAACGTAATGCTTGCTTTGGCTTGTTTTTGGTCAGTGTATTTTTTCGCGTCTATTACGCCGCTCCGCTTAACGCCCGACGTAATTTTTTTTTCCCGCACATCTGTTCTCGTCGTCAAAGTAACAAACTTGTTTGGCTTACTGATAAACGATAAAGTTATAAAGCCCGGACCTTTCACTTATTTTACTTATAATTGAAAGTACATAATCATTATAAGAAAAGATTTCCTGCTCTTAGTTGGTAAGTAAAAAGAATTACAAATCAAGTTTTTTTTTGTTTTTAATGTATTTTTTTCAATACTAAATGAGCTTTTTAATAGATTTTTAATGATAATTTTTGAATTGCTGCACTCATTACAAAGTATTAAAATTGATTGTGAAGAACAATATTACATCCACTGTACTGTTTTTTGTTTGACTTGCAAA